AATTCATTTCCCAACCGTCTCTCTCCTCCCACAGAATCGGACACACTGAACCATGAAGCCAGTGAGAGGTTTGCTGCCGGCTACATCCAGTGCATGCACGAGGTCCACATGTTTGTGTCCAGCTGTCCCGGGATAGACGCCACGGTGGCAGCGGAGCTCCTCAACCACCTCCTGGAGTGCATGCCCCTGAACGAGGACCACCTCCAGGACGTGCTGGTGGATCTGATCACAGACACCCCCGGGAGCAACGGCAGCACTTGGCAAGGAGGCGACGAGACACTCTGCTCGAGTCTTGCCTCGCCCGGAGGACGGAGTCTCTCCATTTGCTCGTCCTCAGCCTTCTCCCCGGCCCCTTCCACCACGTCCAGCGAGGACCTGTGCTCCGACTTGGACGACACCGACAGCGAGCACAACCAGAGCTCCACGGAGAGCTTGGAGAGCAGAGAGGGCCTCGGCATGCCCACCATGACATACCCTGAGTCTATGTGGAGACCCTGGTAGAGGGCAGGAGGGGATACATGTTGCAGCAGGGGATGAGGGTTGTCATCATATCCTACGACACTGGAGCCTCCTGCTGACATAAGGGAACATTCCACCTCACAAACACTTTTTTGGTGGCATATCCTGCATCTATGAACCCATTGACCCCTGCAGGAAGCTGGTCACACGCATGGATTTTCAATAATCAAATCTGTTCAATAGGAGACCTTAACGTTCTGACGGCAGCCTAGGTTGATCCAAAATGGAATAAATCCGTGGATCGCTCTGCATCTAAGGAGCAACCGTGACTGTGGCTTTTCTTTTCACCTTCAACTGATTGCAGCGAGATGACAGGCTTTCCCCTGAACTCTGGGAAATGTAGGAAACCACTTAGTGAAGTGTAGAAGTTGACAACAATTCCTTCAAACATTCCTTCAGTGCCTCGGATATCACAGAAGAACGTGTAAACCAGAGTGTTAGAAGGTGGAGTTTTCCTTTCTCTCAGCGGAGGGGCCCTTCCTCTCAAAGGAAGTGACACCCAGCTTTGAGTCCTCTGTTGTGACCCCCCCCACCCCTACACCTGAAGACCCCCACCCCCATCAACACACTTATAACCCAACAAAAGGACCGAAAACGAACAGTTCCGGACGTTCACACTTGTTTTGTCAATAACTCTGTGTACATAGGATTTTGTATGAGGAGTAAAGCTCTTTTAGAAGATTGCCTCTGATTAATTAATTAATATAAAATATTTCTATTGTATTTCAGGCCTGTAGTTTACTGGACCAGTGTAGCCTCCTACAGAATGACCACTTTATGTTGTAATGATGTTTAGAAAAGTTGTTGCCTGTATATTGTCTTGAGTTTTCGAAATAAAATAATGTGACTGAAATGATTTGTGTGTGAGTTGATAAAGGAACAAATGTTGAACCGAGGAGAGAAGAGCGGGTAAAAGTCAAAATTCAGGAAGAAATGTGAATTAGAATGTTGTCGGAGATTGTTTGTTTATCACTGATGTATACTTCTCTAGGCTTTAGTATATGTAATACATACATCTTACACCTTCTCTCTCACAATTTCAATATTATGAACAAAAAGAAACTTTGCAATTTGCCATATTCTAGGATATATTGGTGTTCCATTTGGTCTCACAATCTCAGGACACTCTGGTGCCACAGGTAAACTCTCCTATCTGACTTGCTCAACATTAATGTCAATAGTCACAGCAAATCAAAATCATGTCCTCGCAATATGCTTGATTCTTCTTGGAGCTGCGGTGCGTTCACACCACGAGGACGCACCGTGCTTAAAAGCGCACTGGCACATGAAAGGGTCACACCTCTGCAAGTGCCGTCCCTCTCACACCGAGCCTGTTTAACAAAGGCCTGTTAGATCCTGTCTGGACTGTGAGGGCCAGCCGTCACCCCACAGAGAGGCAGCGGCGGCGGGGGCGACACCACCCCTCCTCTCAGCTTCAAACCCAAATCATGAAGGTCTGAGCGCTTTCCACCAGGGACAAACTCACTTATCTCTTGCTTTTCATTGTCCATGACAAGTCCACGTCTAATATCTGGTAATACCAGCAGGACAAGCCCAAGGGGGGTGGAGGTGAAGGTGGAGTACTCGGGTGTGAACGTCGGAGGAAACGCATTGAAATGGGAGCGGACGGAGGAGACACGGTGATCAAAGCTTTGACGGACATTTGACAGAGGAGCGTCAAAAGGCCTCTGAGTTGAAAAGAGGATCCAAGCAGGCTCAGGTTCTTCAAAGAGAAAGGACACACACAAACACACGCACGCACACAACATACATTATCATCAAGGCACTTTAGAATCCAGATAATATTGAAGAGAAACCCAACAATTCACACAACACTTTGTGAGAGCGGAGAGAAAAAACTCCCTCATTAACTGGAAGAAACCTCTAGAACCAGACTCTGTGGGTGGACATCTGCTTGGGGTGAGAGGGGAGAAATAAAGGAGAGAGGAGGGGTGGGTGGAAAAAGGGAAAGAGAGAGAGAGCCGGAACAATTGTGTAGAGTTTTAATTAAATCTCTGTCAGAGTGGTTGTTGCAATTAAATAATTATTTTCTGACAACGCATCTACACACACAAACTTAAAAACAAACAGATGAAAACATAACCTTCCATTGAGGAGGTAGAAATGGTTGAAATGAGTTTGGAGCAGTTTTTCCTGCTGTGACCAGGTGTGATCCATGTGATACAACAGATGCAGGAGATCAGTAGTTCTGTTCTTGTTTCTTTGACCAACCCTGTAATTAAAGTCCTTGAATATATGCTCGCTCCACAAACACCATTTACTGAGCGCTGCATCGCTTCTGCCTCACAATGTGGATGTGAGGGAATACGAGAGGAGGCTGGGGGCTGAAATGGATGTTTTTAACCTTTGGCTAAATTCAATTACAGTCACACTTCATCCTGTCTGAACAAACCAACACAATTAAAGTCAGAATTTCCTGCAAACTCAAATAAAATCTTCATCTGGCTCTGAAAATAGAGTCAAAATATGATGTATTATTGGAAATAAGGCAGTTGTATATGTATATTGTGAAATGCATGCAGAGAGTTAATGACTGTGGGAATACTTGCCCTAATCAAAGGATGAATCGGTTAACTGAAAATGACAGATGAGCACACGAAGCACAATTTTAGTTAAAGGTGGTGCTGGTGCTAGAGGTGGGGGTGGGGGTGGGGTGTTAAACTCACAAATAAGGGAGGACTTTTGTGCCCAAATGTATCAGCTGTGAGTTTGTGACCATGCATATGATTTCTGAGGTTAAAGGTCAGCGAAATACAACAGTTGGCGTGAGGGAGACTCAACGGCGGAGGGGAGCATATGGCTCTGAAACAGATCCCCCGGGAGAGCCCTGCCATCCTCTGGTGCTTCTCAACTGTCTTTGACTGTGAGAGAACAATCACTCTGCAGCAGCAGCAGCAGCAGCTTTCACATGCTCCGTGCACACGGACCACTCACTACACCTTATCACACCCGGCGCTCCTTCATTCTACTTCTCATTTTGTCACATCTGAACAAGCGTTGGACTCACATTGATCAGGTTCATTATTTTCTTCTGTGGGAAAATGTCTGTAATTGGAAGTGAAACCACCACTTTTATACACAAGTGTCAGTTTACTGCAGCAGAGAACGAGTCAGCAAGCGGTCGTATAATGAACCTGTCAGAGAAAAGAACCCCGATGAGTCATTTCAGCTACAGACGACAAGCAACACAAAACCTTGACTACAAACAGAGGCTCTGCAGAGTTCAGCTTCCATTCACCACCAAAGATGCTTTTTGCTCCAAGGAGTTGACGATAATGTCATAATGTGTATATGATAAAATATAATATATTTGATATACTGTATGTTATACAGACATATTCTGCAGAGGAAACCAATGTGCAAAACTAAATTTGTATTAAAAATAGTGCAAGTCATGAGAGAACAGTATTTTACATTTTGAGTGTTGTTGCAACATCTGCAATTTGACTAAGAAGAAAAACTGATCGCACATAAACACCTAAAATAATGAAGTTTGTAAATGTAATCCATTGCTCTCATGTGTTCTACCATCAGGCACATTTTAAATGAGCACTGCAGTCGTTTCACCAACTGAAGTTTGAGAAACTGCACAAACAAGGTGATGACAGCAGCTTAATGGAAACATGATGTTCAGTGATTCAGTGAGTAAAGGCCACATTTGACTGAGATCCCATCAATCCAATTCAATGTAGGTCTATGACTGTTATCTACACATCGGTACAATGTGTCCCTGTGACATCTCTTCTGATTTTAAAATGTCTTTCACACACACATCAGTGGCCCAGGCTCGACCTATGAGCCCAGAGCTTCATGATTCTCACTTCACTTCCACAAGCCCGGAGCTGAATGTCTGTTGAGCCCAGTGTTTACATCCCAGAGCGATGCGTCACTAGTGGTTTCACGCAGGCACATTTTTTATAACCCCACAAAGTAGGAGCTGGGAACAAGGACCAACCCGTCCTGAGTTACAGTCAGGATGAGCTCACTCTGGAAGGTGCCAGTGTGTTCTTCACTGTTGGAGCTACAGTAACTGCAGTGTGAACAGCCTAGTTATGTTTATGTACGGCCAATAGATCAATAGGTGTGATTTATTGGTTATTGATGCTCGATTACTCTTGAGATCAAGTGAGTTCACTTCATTTAAAAATCAATTGAAGACACATTTCTTCCAACACGTCTTTGAGTCATTTTTCAGTTGTGTTTTTATGCACTTTACCTTCTTCAAACGATATTGTTTCCCTGTTTGAATATGTTGTGTGACCTTGTACATCTCTGATTTTAACTTTTTATGGCCCTGTGGTGACTCTAGTCTATGAACAGTCCTGCACAACTGAACTTGACTTACTTCAGAAAGAACATAAGAACTAAACCAGAATTGACTTGATGAGTTTCCGTGTGAAGTCTTCAGAGTCAGTTGGGGTCGGGACAGATGAGTCACACTGGTTATACATATTTCGGTGGTTTTTATTACAACATTGTTTCCACGTGTCAAACAACACATTTTAACTACAAAATAACGCACAGAACTGTGCTAGTTTAATCAACCAAAGATTCATACAGTGGCAATAAAACCAATTTACAAGACAACACACGACATCGTGTGCCAGAGCTGTCTGCATTTACAGATCAGGGTGCTTCTAACAGCCCACCAGTGTGTATTACATTTTAAATGCATTTCCCTCTCTGTTAGGCCTTAGGAGAAAAGTGAGGCTAAAAAAAACGTGCATTGAAGACGTGAGTTAAATTACATTCTTACATTCTCACTGGTGTAGACAGAGGTGAGCGTTGGAGGCCCGATCCCTTTGACATACACGAGAAGATGAATGAAAGAGATAGACTGCAGTTGTTTAAGGTGGTTTCGGGGGGCCTGTCTTCTCTTTGCACCCATCCATAGGAACAGCAGGAGTCAACAAACCACTGCTGCTCCGAGGCAGAGACACTTGTCAATCACAGGAATCTCCGACCGCTCTGTCCGCTGTGCTTTGCGGACATGCGTACACGCTGTGTTCTGCTTACAGTAACATGACATGGGATTTGTTAGAGGTAGGGTCCATCCCCAGTGACGTTCAAACAAATAAAAAGCCTCTTTCCTTCGTTAGACAAATAAAACAGAGCAATACAAAAAAAAGTTCTGAAAAGTGAACAGGAAATAAAAATAAAAAACGAAACAAAAGAGAAGAAACAAACGAACCCAATCAGATGATCTCGGGTCCAGTCTGTGTTACATTCAAAAGCCCTGCCCTGACTGTTTCTCTACCTTAGCACCAAAGTTGTTCCCAGTTCTCACACTGTTCACATCACCTACACGGAGGCAACGTGTACAAGTTTCTTCACTACTACGTGTCGGAAGGCGAGGGGCCCGGCACGGTTTCCTGTGTAAGCCTGGTTTCTACAGAAGCTCACTGACGCCAACATGGTCCCATTATGTGCTACAACCGTGAAGCTGTTTTCCCACCACGCTACACGATTTCAGTGCTCATGGTCCCCCCTGGCGTCAAACTGCTTTTACAGCACTTGAGAAGCTGTACTACGGCACAGACACCTGCTGAGACTTATGACTGGTAGTCCGCAGCTTGACGCTTGAACGAGGCCAGTATAGTAGAAAAAAGAAAGTTTCTCTGTGTGGAGGTGAAGTCCAGTCCACAGAACCTAATCTATAAAGGGTGCAGTTGGAGGCAATGTAACTTTGCATAATGAATAAATCCCTAAAATGGTAATGATTTGTTCAAAAATGACAATTTGTAGTAGAGCTGCACCATACAGACAGGACAAGAATATTACTTTACATTATTTTACAAGAGTATATATATATGTGTGTGTGTGTGTGTGTTTCTATCTATAAAAAGGAAACAGACTGTATCACCTAGAAACAAAGTGGAGGTGAAAAGCAAGTAGATCTTGGATCTTAGAAAAAATAAACATTTCTTGAGCTTTGAACTTGATTGGCAACCTTAGGTCTCTACATCCTGTCGCCCGCTGCTCGTTGTGCATCATCGACGTAACGACGTAAAGTGTTTTAAATGCAACAAAAATCATTTTCAGCAGCTTCTTCAGCCGTTTTAAGGTCTGCAGTGGTCCACAACACTCTGAGGTTTTTTAGTCATGCGGACAAGTAAGCTCCAGTTTTTAGTTAAAGCCTTAAGTGACTTTAAATATCCTGCTGTGTTAACTGTAAACACATGTAAACTGTTCTCGTGAGTACCATCTTTCAGCTGAGTCGATTTGGCTTTAGCTTTAAAATAACTACTTCATACATCTTCTGGTAAAAAATAAATACGATTTCATCTAGGATCAGATTTGCACTGGGTGCCAGATTGTCATCTCCAAGTTTCCAAGCGGCTGTTGAGTCAAGTGCTACCACCGCCTGGATATTACATCATCCAATGAGCACCACAACTTGTCTTTTCCTGATGGGAAAACAGAGGGTATTCTGGGAACACCTCGAAATTGGTGTTTAATGACCATTATTTTGTCAGAATAACATATTTGTATTTAAAAAATGTCCACTGACATTTTCTTTTCTTCGTTTTGCTGTAGAGCTCAGCCTCTGACAGCGAGGATGGTCAAAGGTCTCAGAGGTTAAAGGTCACCAGCCACACACCCTGGATCATTTCAGAGTGTGTGAACTGAACAAGGTACTGTAAAGCACTAGCGCCCTCTGTGTGTGTGCATTGAAAACTGCACTCCAATAGCAATCCTATGTTAAGTACACACACATTCACACATACACACAAACAGTGCATATCTTCATAAGTTCTGCTTGTTTGCTTGTATGTATGTTTCTGTGAGAAAAGTCACATCTCACACAATGTGTGTGCATCATGAGGGTCCATGGCTGGTCAAGTCTTTTTGTGTCCCCCTGCTGGCGACGTGAGGGTAAGTGTTGTGTGTTCAGGAACCAGAGTCTGGTCGGGGTTGAGAACCCTTTGGCTGGTTCTGGTTGTTCTGACCCTCTTGGCTCAGTTCGTCGCTCAGCTCTCCCATGTCCATGTCCAGCAGGTCCTCCTCGATGGGCGGCCCTACTGTGTCCTCACAGTACACACACTCCTAAACACAAAGCCAATAATTAACGTCTTTGATTGAACTATCTAAAAGAAAAAGCCTCTCAGAAATTCTCATGCTAATTTTCTCAACAGTTTTATTAAATGAAAAATGAAAAAAGTTGCAGTGCTCTTAATCATTAATATGGATAAAATGTTTGCAATCTGTCCAATAGTGAGCGAAAAAAAACTATGAAACTTATTTCATCTCAGATTTTCCTTTTTGAACATTTTGATGCCAAATGTGTTTTATGGGATTCCTCAAACACAAAAGATCAGCGTGTGAGAACAGTGATAGAGTTAATGTTGACTCTCACCTTCACGTTGATAGTAGCAGGCAGACCTCCCCTCCTCATCCAGGGGTGTTCCTCCAGCAGCTCTCGTCGCTGGTCCGAGGAGAAATGAGGCTGGCTCTTCTGCATCTGCCTCAGTCTCTCCTTGTCTTCCCGCAGGACCTTCTGAATGTCCCTATTCATCAGAAAAACACATACACTTCCATTTAGACACATTCATGATGTGTTTATCACACTCTTTTTTGCACTGCCTGCTCTAAAACCTTCTGTTTGCTTGGCCTGTGGTAATGCTGGTTGCAGTTTTTATTCAACACTTCTGGAGATATGCAAGCCACAGACAGACACACAGGCATTTCTGGAATTGTTAGATGGATGCAAAATAACATTGAACTGCCGTAAGGACTCACCTCGATGGCATCTGATATGACATCATGACCTTGTCGTCAGCATTGGCCATGAGCAGCCAGAGGGGCTCCTGGAGAACGTATTTGATTAAATGCTCTCCATCGACTTTGGTCTGTGACTGGCAAACTTCAGAGCCTTCTTTGCTCCTAGCCTTGGTTTTGGCCTTCGTCTTGGGGTCATGTTCCAGGGAGTCAACGCTGCCAAAGTATTTGCTGGTGTTGCTGCTTCCTGCACCGTTTTAAAGAGACAGGAAAAGAGTCAAAAAAGACTTCAAAACATGTTTTTATTGGCATTGCTACCAAACAGAAACTAATAATATCATGACAATGCAAAATAAAAGTTAAGCTTATGTCCGCTGACCTGTTCTGCTGCCAGAGGCTCCACTCGCTGAGGTACCACAGCCATTGCAGCCCAAGCCTGATCCGGATCCTGATCCTGAGCCGGAGCCTGATCTCGAGCCCATGGACCCAGACGTGGCCGATCCAGTGCCGGAGTGAGAGTCTTCCTGCTCCTGCAGCAGGATGTCCAGCAGGTCGCAGGACGAGGAGTTACCCTCGCTGTGAGCCTCATCTCCTGGAGACTCCACCTGAGACACAAGGAGGACGACCATCAGATAAAAACTATGACGATGTGTAAATGTGGAAATGTTGCTGTGTGCATCAGTGACAGAAGCTTGTACAGGACAAAATTCGGATAAAATCAAAGTTCATTTGGTTTGTTGTGTCTCACCTGTTGATAGTTTTCAGTCTTGGCTGTGCCGCCGTTCTTCTCCCCTCCTGCCCCGGCTCCTGATGCTGCTGCTGTGCTGCTGCCCTGACATCCAGCAGATGGCGCTGTGCTGTCCTGACGTTCCACTAACCGCTGCCCCTCCTCCATGCTCAGGAGATTGAGCTGCAGAGGTGAGCTACACCGCGACTCAAACAGCGGTGGTGACGTTGCTGGCTCCCGGGTCGCAGAGATTGGTGTGGAGGAACGTGATGCCCCCCCTTCTCGGGATTCCATGACTGGGACTTTCGGGGGCTCGTGGTTTAGGCTGTAGGAGAAAGGCTGCGCTGGATAAGGGGTTTGACTGACAAACTGAGTCTGCACAGGGAATGAAGGCTGGGCCGCGAAGGGCTGCTGGGCAGGGTAGGCAGTCTGAGGGGCCTGAAAAGGCTGCTGGGTAGTGTAGGCGGTCTGAGCCACTTGGAATGGCTGTTGGGGGGTATAGGCAGTCTGCACAGGGAACTGCTGTTGGTTAGTGAAGGGGGGTTGTGTTTGCATGGTGTATGCTGACTGCGGCGGCTGAAAGGGCTGCTGGGTTGTGTACGCAGGTTGCGTTTGGGACTGCTCAAGAAAAAAAGCTGGACTGGGAGCAGCCCCCATCTGCCCTATTTGTCCTATTTGGGGGAAGAGGTAATTTGGCAGAACCAGAGCCACCACTGGTGTGACAATAGGGGTGGGGAACGGAGTGGCTGTGGGCGGAGCTTGAGCGCTCTGCCCCTCTCCAAAGCCTGTGGAAAGTGATGGGTCAAGATGAGGGGGCTGAGCGGGGGCAGTGGGTGCTGAGGAGTAGAGCGGGTATGCAGGCACCATGGCAGGGTAGGAGACACTGAAAGCTGACTGAGAGGCTTCAGACGGCGACCACGAGGTCTGGTTGAGTCCCTGGAGAGGGGGCCTGGGTTTGCGGTTAGACACGGCGCTGTCTGACGAATCAGGATGCTTCATTCGTGGCTTCTTTGACTTCCTGCTACGGTTGCCCTTCTTGGCGGTGGTCTCAGGTCTGGTGGTGCCCTGTTTGATAGCACCTCGAGGTCCAGAGGATTCTGTTGTGACATATTGAGAAGTCAGGCGGTTGTGTATGAACTGGAGAACAGTGAGAAAGGTTAACATGGCAAAGAACTGGGAACGTACCACTTATTCAAATGTAGTGCAGCACTTTTACTGTATCATTCAATAATTTATAGAAAGACACTGTGGACAGTACTGTTATATTAAAGAGGCACTACACAATTCTTTTTAACTTATAAACTTATCAAGTATAATGTGATAGCAAAGGGAGGTTTTGGGGGAATTTACAAATGCTGTCTTTGGACAATGTCACTTATTTCTGGGCAAAATTCTTTATTGTTAATTAAAACCTTGCCTACCTTCAGCGTTGGCTTGGCCTCTTTGCTTGTGCAGATATTTGGTGCAGTCCTTCTGGAAGCTCCTGACGTTGCAGAGTTCTCTGCAGCGGCTGAGGAAGGCCTGCTCTTCTTTTTGTGTGTGTGCTGCCAGCACCTGCTTGGTCAGTCCCAGCCTCTTGTAGGCTTCCTTTTCCTGGCTTAGTGGAGACACCATGCTGACGGGCAGAGCTGGAGGAGCTGGGCTCTCCGCCACATCCTCAATTATCTCTGTAGAAAGAATCAGAGACATTAACATCTGTCGCTTATTATTGAATAAGATTGGATTGAACACAATTCCAGGTTTGTGTTCTACATGACTTTCTAAACTGGACTGGATGTAGAAGCTCACCAGACTCTGGCTGAGGCTTCTTGTCTCCCACATGAACAATGGTGCTGCTGTAGCTGCACTGCGAGGTGATGGACACCACACTCTCAGCCTTGCTGGGTAGAGTGAGGGGGGCCAGGGGGCCTCCTACCACTGCAGCGGCCCCAGATGGAGGCTTTTTAGGTGCTTTCATGTTTGACAGGCCTGGCTGGGGGTCCAGCATCAAAGGATCTGGATGGTAAAAGAGAGAGATCATCTGTGAGCTCCAAACCAAAGTTATTATATTCAAATTCCTTTTACTACACAAAGTGCACACAAGATAAAGCAAGCAACAACAAAAATGAACAACACAAGGGTACCGACATCCACATACCTGTGTTTGTATCCTGAACCATGTGCATGGCATCCTCTGAGCCCTTCTTGCCGTCATCTGAGTTGGAGGAGTTGGTGTTCAAGGAGAACTGGTACTTCCTCTTGACAGTGATGGGGGTGTTACAACTCTCTAGGTACCTGAGGGAAACATACATGGAGTCAATCAGAGAACACACACACACACGTGTGATCTTTTAACCAACATCTGTCATGTATCACAAGCAGGGTTTTACCTGATGACACTGTCGAGGCAGCTGATCTGCTGGTAGGAGCAAACGCTCTGGTCCTTGCAGGTGAAGTCCTCTGTGGCGGCTGCAGTACTGTCTCTGACCTGAAGATGGGGCGCAGAGTCCTTCAGACGCCCTGGTGGACTCTTCTGAGCTGCTGGAGTGAAAGAGTAGATAAAGAGAGGGATGAGAAAACGTCAACATTGATTTTAATTCACTTTTTCATCATATTTGACAGCTGCAAAAACAATTTCTGAAATCTGATTCAGTGTTTTGTATGTAAATATTATGAAATAAATCTTTCACATTTGCAATAGTTTTTTTTTGTTTTGTCTTAAATGATGAAATAACAACATAAGAATCAATCTTCTAAAATGTGTGGTGATATGAATTTGAACTCACCGTCAGTGGTCTTCTTCTGCTCAGGTCTGCTCGGTAGTGATGAGGGGGAGTGCAAGCAGACCTGGGAATCCTGGTTCTTCTCCATGTGGACCCCTTTACAAATCTCCTGGAATGTCCTGGGCGGCTTGGCCTTGCCCGTCTCCTCCGCTGCGACCCCAAGGGTCATGTTCTTGTTGCTCTCGCTGGACGAGCTGATGCTCACAAGTTGCTCGTGAGAACCGTTGCTGCCGTGGCTACCATAACCGCTGGAGCCCATATTGTGGACGGGCTGAGGAGAGAAAAGATTGTTAGAAAATGAAAGATGCTCGAATGATAACATGTATTTCAGTGGGGGATTTAATGAGATTCAGTGTGCGTTTCTGTGTGGATATGTACCTGGAGCAGCAGCCTGTGGATCTGTTCACTAATTTCCTGGATGTCAGAGTCCATGATTTTCCCTCCGTGGAAAGCAGGCACTGCAAAAACGTCTTCGTTCACAGGACCCCTAAAAACACAGACACCTATGTCATCTGGTGTGTTGAAACTGAAATGTATTCCAACACATCACAACAGATGCCTGTAATTACAACATCACATTGAGCACACTCACATCCGGACTTTGTGCCTGCCAATGACGAAGGAGACCTTGCGGCTCCAGGGGTTGACAAAGCTGGACCAGCTGGTGTCGATGGTGACGTACTCGCCATTGCGTGCACAGAAACGGATGGAGGAGTGGTCGAAGGGCTGACCAGCATACTGAAGAACTGCAACAGAACGTGTGTGTGTGAGTATCAGAGTGCTGAGCATCATAATCCAAGCATTCTTTTTTAAATTGTCAAAATATCTTAGATGTCAAACAAAACTACAGAATTCTGAACTTTAGAAAATGTGAAGTGAATGAAAGAGGTTCGTACTCTTGCGGTGCACAGCCAGCATTAAGGGTCGATCACTTGGGTGCAGATTGAGCAGCAGAGGGGTCCCAATCAGGTCCTGAGGGAGGTAACCCAACAGAGGAACAGCCCTGATGGAGAAACAACAATTACTGTTTCTGACAAAGCAGGAAACTGCACTTAAACAGGTTCACACAAGACATGACAACGGTACGATAGTGTGTTCAACCCACTGACCTCTCATCCACATCCTGGAACACACAGTTAGGAGTGTGTGTGGTGGTGAAGATGCGCTTGTCAGGGGGGATTCTGGGAGCTGTGGAGGGAAAGAGAGAGTTATTTTTATTCATTCACACATTTTCTACTGTAATTATTTGACCTAAACTGCATCAGTTTTTGTAGCTGCTGAGTGAGAGCGATGCATCCCTTTATGTCGGAGTGGTCTTTCCGTCAGGATGGATTACTCTCTATAATATAGATATATAAATAGATATTCTATATCATCTTGTTTGTGCTCAATTAGATGATCAGCGAAGCAAAAAAGGTAAGTGATGTGCCATAATGTGTATTACATGAGTCATTATCATCAGTGTGTGTCAAATTCCGCTCCATATGTGCAAATGTCCACACATCCTGCTTGTGTCTGTGGTTATGGGACTCGCCTTCATATCCAGAGTGCACCCTTTCTGCCAGCAGGAGGCAGCAGAACTGTTCTTCAGCCAGCTCAGCATCCTGGACTTTCATCAGGTAGGGAGTCATTCGGAAAGGATAATACTGAAGATCTCCTTCACGCTCCTTACCGCCACTGAAACACACACACACACCCACAGCATTATAATACAGGTCATAGTTTGCCAAAATTTGTACTAGTCTGCATTAAAACTGACAATTTAACTTAGTTGCAGCAAAGAGCCGATAGAGAATAAAACTAAGCTTATTGAATCTTAAGCTCATTAGGTACTATAATTATTTATCACATTATCATGACTCATATTTCACCAAGAGAGTGGGACCACTAATCAAGTAAATGGTGACAAAGGATCCTGCAGAAAGATGCTGCAGTCAGGCTGTATTATCATTATTATTATTAGAATTTAGCTACAGTTCAAAAGCTCACAGCTGCTGACTTCCTCCCTGCTCTCCGACATCCTGCTAATCCTACTCAGAGCAAACTATTGATCAGAGAAGCTGCTGTCACTCACCTGATGCGGCAGAAGAAGGACTTCTCCTGCATGCACTCCGTGGGAGACGACTCTAAATAAGTGACAGGGGACAAGGTGGGATGAGTGCATAACCCAATGAATTCATACTTCACACAATTATGCGACTCAAGCTTGAAGACCACTAGAGAGAAAAAGCACTATAAATAACTTTCAATTTAAGCACACAGCTGAATGATCACTTAGACAACTGCTGTTAAAGTGAAAGGACACAATCAACTACAGCACATGTAGTTCAGTCAAGTGGATTAACATGGCATTAAGAGGAAGAGTGACTGAAAAAGAAATCAATCAATATTCACTTCAGCATCTAAACCATGAATGAACTTATGGAGTCCTCTTCTACATTGATTCTTCACTGTAAATATGGGACTATTAAATTCAGCTTGATTATTCTACACAATGTCCACTTCACTACAAGACATAGGTGTAGCATCTTCAGTATAATATGAGTTATCTCAGAGCTTATGGGCTGGTTTGCATTTGATGTACGCACATGCACCAAATAAAGCCTTTACCAAATATGTGGCAGGTGTTTGAGTAGGCGTGCAGTCACTAATGTGTGATTACGCATGTTAATGAAATATGTGATATGCGTGTATGAGCATGTGTGCGCGGGTATGGGGGTTACATGTGGAAAATTAGCACCTGTGTATATTGAGGTGGTAGAGGTGTTACCCGTGTCCCACGTGGGAGATGGAGATCTAATACTCATACCGTCTGGTACCGTGTTGGCCCAGTTTGTCACTTTACTCAAGTGAGATTCATTTTTCAAGGTCTTAAGTCAAGTTGTATGAAGTTGTATGTTTTTAGTTTTGAGGCTGGTACCTGCTCCGGTGCACATACTCCACGAGGGTAACCGATATGGCGTGGTGAAGCTGTAGAACACGCTGACGTCCTGCGGTGTTAGGAACTCCACAAACTTGGCATTGTTGAACACTTCTCGCTTGCAGTTCAGAATGGACGCTGCCTGGTCTGAGATGTAAACAATCTTTCCGGTGATGAGTGAGACGGCAACTGCAAATATATCCTACAAGGAAACAGTGGAAAACAAAACCAATCAGTTAAGTGTCAATTCATTTCAGGATGACCCAGATAACTTTTCTGTCTGGATCAAGTAAATAATTATTTTTATCATAAGTCAATTTTAAATGTCTTCACTATAAATGTATAAGTGACTTGTTGTTCCTCTTTTGATTCTAACTGGAGATAAGAGCCACTTACATTGTTTTTCATGGTGTATTCAGAAGTGATGCGGTTGATTTCCTCAATGGTGTAGGATGATACATCAAACCCTGATGGCTGACTGTCATTGATCATCAGCATCTGGTAGTATTCCTCATTGGCTGCAAAACAAAAGTAAATATGGATCAATGCAAACATCAAAATTCCATAAAATGTTTATTAAACTAAAGAAAACGATCATTATAGTGCATTCTTTAATCAGTCTCCAACACGGGTGAATAAGTTCGTGATCGTGTGTATAAAAAGAGGTATCTCTTACCTTTCACCTGTTTGACACATCGCAGTGCATACTTGAGCGTGTTGATGGTGCTGGACTTGCCCTTGCTCCTTTTCTCCGACGGCAAGTGCATCTTGAGCTCCTTGAGGGTCTTGAAGAGTTCCTTCTGAGTCTTAGCCTTGGCAGACTGTTCGCTGCTGCAGGGCGCACATGAGACAGATACACGTGTATCAAAATAACAAGGTCTCATCAGCAATGTCACACTCTGAAGTGCGATGAGGAGGAGGAGGGGTAGCTTCTATATGGGGTATGCTAATTGTGCGTGTACACTGGGGTGGGGGCAATGTCAGGTGTACAAACCTGCAGCCGCTGGTCGATGGGTTGTCCTGCTCAGAGCTCACCAGACTGAAGGCGTTGGAGCTGCTCGGTGGCGATGGGCTGTGAGAGTTTGAGCTGGAACCATAAACAACAGGTCGTGTTATTTAAGACGGGGTACAGACAGACCCCACAACAGAACACTATGAAAGAACAGCTCTATTCCCAAAACAACACATGAGACTAAACACATTCGGTTATGTCAAGGACCTGGTGTTATATATTGTGCTATAGAAATACCATCTGCTATAAACAAATAGCTGCGCCCAACACTCACTGAAGAGCATGAGTCATTTTCATTTGTCCTTTATCAATGGGTTTTTTTTCTCTTTTGAATGTGATTACAAGTCAACTCTAAATAAAACTATGCCAAGAGGCATTGTGTTTATAAAGCACCCACTGCTCCTCTCAGTCTGACAGTCACTGTTACGGGAATACAACAGTGACTCAGACAAACAATAACTCAGAAGAAAATGGTCCTTGAATAACATTTAATGAAGTCTACTTCAGTGACAGAGATTGTCTGCTCCCCCTTTGTGATGGGTAAGTACATCACTTACTACAAAATGTGTCCTCACCTCTTGTTGCTCCCTGAAGACTCATGGAGGGCCGAATCCTTGCTATTGCCATTAGAACTGCCCACAGATTCATTGCCATGGGAGTCATTGCCGTGCGACTCGTTACCATGAGATTCTGTCCCGCTCCCACTTGAGCCGCTGCCACCCATCTCTACATCCTCGTGTAAGGTCGGGCGAGGCCGCTTCCTGTCGTCGTGAGGGGAGCCTGGCGAGGCCGGGTGCTCATGACTGCTGTCACTCCCCTCGGAGGCCAGTCCCAACTCTGGTTCCAGCTCGACCTCATCCCGCCGCCCACAACCCTCGCTGTATCCGCTGGCCATGTGGCTAAGTTGGCTAATAGAGCCGCAGGTTGAGCCCTCTTCTTCTTCCACGTGAAAGCTGATCCTTTCCCGGTTCCGCTCTAGACTTTCCAGGGTTGAGTACAGGTAGTGCTTTGAATCACTGTCCTCAGACATAGGACGGACCAAAGGGCTATAGAGTGGTGATTAGGTCAGCTTACACATGGCAATGCCATGAAGTGTGTGGCACTGGGATGTAAATGGAGTTGATGCTTCTGAAGGTAAGATGCAGTCTGAAGGAGAAAAATAAACCACAGGTGATATTACTTACAAACTGTTTAAAATATAGTGTAGATCTGTAAAAGGAAGATAAAGGGTTGGTTCTTAAGTTAGACACAATCGAGGGACATTAAATGAAATCATCAAACATGCACTTTGAGAACACTCTTTTGGATCTGTGCCTTTTTCAAAAGTCAGACATGAAGCAGCACAGATAAAGGCCTCTTGTTGTTGCACAGCTGCCATCCAATCTTCTAAAGGTCTGCACAGTAAATAGCTGTTTGACCTTTCTGGGTGGATTCAAGTCCTGGACCGGTTTGATCCAGTTACATTTTGCAAACCATTTTTTTTTTCGCAAGAAAGGTGGGTCCGCAAAACAAAAACATTGACCTTCAATCACGACTAATATCAATGCTGGAAAGACAAAATGCTTTAGATCAATGTGTGCTATTCAAGCCTAACTCTCATCACAAATGAAATGATATAACACTGGGGGAAAGAAAGACAGCTCTGCATCACAAATAACAATATTATCATTAATGCCAAGGATGCAGGTCCCACAGAAGCAGACGATTAACAGATGTGTTGCTGCATTGTTTATCTTCACTTAAGTCTCAAACAAATATTGCCTTATGTAACAGTGCAGAGCTCCTGAATCAACACGGAATATAAAGATATGTGATGTTTACCTTGCACCATGACAACCAACACTATAAGCTGAACTTCACTGGTTATGTTTGTGCAATATATGAACCTGATTAAGTCACAAGCGGAGAGTAGAGTAGTTCCACAGTTAACAGTAGCAGTTCAGGCTATTTCTGGGGTTTACACCACTTTACTAAAACTGGCGGTCCACTGAGCACAAGTTGGCCCCCGCTCTGGTCCTTGTCTTTAAACTACAATTACAACACAAAGGTTAGGTGCAGCAACAGCAGCAACAGCCACAAGGCCAACAACTCCTCAGGGGGAAACCCTGTACCTTTTCCGAAGTATTAGAAACCCCAGAAATCTTCCGGTGGATAAACTAAAATTCTACCAAAGGTAAGTGATAAAAAGCGAAGTTTAGGTCTGATAACTCATATGCAAATGAAATTTTATTATTGAATAGCCTGTACTCACAAATCTCCATTGTCCTTTTCAGCTTAACAATCTGTCCTTAAAACTCAAGTAGAGCGAGGATAAAAAACAATAGAAAACAGCGATGAAGAAACAGTTTAACTTACATTTTTCCAGCAGAAGTGGAAATAAATTAAACCTTGATATTCAACGCAAACTGTTTTTACAGGGACGCTGACCATTATTTTCATGACATACAAGCCATCCTTCTGATGCATTAGTACGACAGTACTGTAGTGCAGTAACATAATCAAAAAGAAGACATTCTTTAAATTAGAAATTAAAGTTGTTTTTAATCATTCCTCTTTTTGACATCTTATAATTTCTTCATTTGTTCATTGACATACTGAGACACTGAATTATGTAAATTTAAAGAACAGCTGGAAAATCCAAGGTGCCGTACAACTAGTAACTAAAATCCGTTTCAGCCCTGACGGTAAACACTGGCAACAGGTACTGGAGACAAATCCAAAATATTTCACTTGTCTCCTATTGTGATTCACGATCAGGTTGCAGCTCCTTTCATAATTGAGCTCAGTCAGCATCTTGTCTATTTTACATAAGCTGCTTTACAGAACTTCTATATGTTAAACTTACAATTCGGTGATTTAAAGAGGCACAAAAAAGGACCAGCAGACTCTCCAGACACCACTCATCCACAGCCACCTTAGAAAATGACCCACCCTGGAACTCAGCAGAGCTATGAGCCAGGTTCTCACAGCAGACTTTCTATTGGCTGCTGCAAAGGGGCCAATCAGGAGGGAGCAAGGACCGACAACAGGTAAACATGATGTCAAGCAACCAAGAGCAGGTTATTATCATTTCATCAGACATAGACAACTATTACATAATTTAGAGATAAGAGGAAGACGAAGATATAAAACAATGATATTATAATATTATGACAAAGCACATGTCACTCAAATCACATCATTATTATTATTAACAATATATATAATAAATAAAGCAAAGATATGAATTACTCTGTCAGTTTACAGGAAACAGTGTTGAGTGTATGCAGCAGGGGATCGAGGGCGCCGTGAACATCCAATAATAAATGCTTCAAAATATTTAAAAACTAGGTTAACACAGTGGAACTGCTGCCACACACCAAACATAACAAGGTCGCAACATAAAGAGGTCCGTCTGCATGTTGACATCATTTATATTTAATATATAAGCCATGATATTGACTTGACGGTAAGATCTGTTCAAATCCCATTCAGGTTCACCATCAGCACAAGCAAATATGAGGCACTTAACATATATATGTTTTAAAATCCAAACACAAGGAAGAACAGGACTAAGATCTTACCAGAGACACTTTCCTCCAAGAACACAGGTTTTCCAAAATAAGTCCCCAACAACATACCAGACAAAAATGATACGGGCAACACCAGCATGCATCTCTCAGAAGCAGAGCAGCAGAATGACATAATGAAACAGAGGACCTGCTCGAGAGCTTATAAACCCAACACACTAGCACAGATCTGAGGCATTATACAACCGCTGCTGCTCCAGTCACATGGATATCGAGCATTGGCAGCCTTGTTTCATAAAACCACACGTTTTCACTAAACGTAACCAGAGAAGTGAAATGAAATCTGACAATGACAAATACAAACACAGATTAAGATTGGGTTTAAAAAAAACTTATCAGTAAACAACAGTCCGGGGGGTTATTAGTGGGTAACATGAGGCCTGCAACACTACTGAGCATATATTTGTATGTTTTCTCATTATTAGTAGTGTTTTCATTTTCACCCATGTCTACACAAGTATTTGAATGAAACTGACACAGTTGAATACATGTCAGTGGGTTATAATTATTAATGTTGTCATATGGGTGGTATTTGACAAAATCAAGGGTTAGAACCATCTTTAAATCTCTCACATTCAGATTATATTCAACATCACAACTGTGGATTAAAGCCTCGACCTAGTATCCACAGGTCAGTGTGTGAGGACAGTCACTCACTTCCTGTGCTGAGCTGCAAATAAAACCAATCCATCAAATGTCAACAAATGGAATCCACGTGTGTCGACGCTGAATATCCTCTGAATGACATCTGATTAAAAAAATTTTTTTTGTCTAATTCATTTTTAAACGAATCATTTCTGCAAATGGGAACAAACATCCCTTCCCCCCACCGAGCTGCCATTGACCTGCTATTCACAATCCACACACACGTTGACCTGCAATCCAGCGCACGGTACACTGACACAGTTATGTAAAAGTGGAGGCACCGGAGGAAACACACGTTCCCGCGAGGACGAGCCGCAGCACCCGGGGACATTTCCCTCCCGGAGGCTCAGAGGTTGAAAATCCGGAGCAGACATTTCTTTTATTTTCTATTATTTTAAAGATATAAGAGGAAAAAGTAGAGCACACCGATGAGTTGGCGCATGCGCACATCGGCTTCACTTACGCAACTTATTATTCGCTCACAGTTTTTCGCTCGAACCAGCGGATGGAGAAAAAAAAAAATCAAACGCACCCACCTGCGCTGCGGAGGCGAGGCGGCTCTGTCCGCTGGGGCTCGGTGTCCGGTGAACGTGAGGCGGCTCCGCGGGTGAACAGCTCTGCTCCACATCCAGACTTCGTTAACGAGAGAACCGGGGCTGACACACTGGCCGTGAGGACCCTCCCCGCCCCTCTCCGGCTCCGCCGCGCGGGCCAATCACAGAGCCCGCCGCGCGACCTCAATTCGGGCTCCTCCTCCGGCGCCCGCCGATTGGCCGCGAGCTGCGGGTTTCCATGGCGAACGTTACGGAATCGCGGCGGCGCCCGCTGATTGGCCCGCAGGCCTGTCCGTCGCTTTATATAAACAAGGCAGCGGCTGCACGTGGAACACCATGTTATGTGAATCGTGCCGCGAGACAGCGATCCACGGAGAATCCCGAACAACGTAACCAGTGTGGAAATTACATAAACGAGAGGAGACAGAAAGAAAAGTGCGAACAGGAAGCGAACAGGAAGCGACGGCCACGATCAGCAGCAACTTATAAAAGCGTCGGAGGATCATCGGCTCGCATGTACGCGATGCAAACACGCGCTGCTGGAGAGAAGAAGAAGTTGTGGAGGGTCCCATGGTGACGTGTGTTACACATATGTGCAGAGGGAGAGGGAGAATGGGTTGTTTTCATGGTTTTCTCTGCAGGAAGAACAAGTGAAACATTTGAGATTAGATTAGATATACTTTATTCATCCCACAACGGGGACATTCACTTATTGCAGCAGCAGAAAATAAAGTGTAGTGTACACCACAGCAGAATTAAAGTAGAAAGGAAAGAAATATCTGTAAGCTACACAATAAACAAGAAAACAATCAACCTGCAAACAGACAATGTGCAAAAACAAGTACTGAGGATAAAAAAGTGGCATGATATAAAAAGTATTGTAATGTAAAGTGACCATAATATAAGTAATATTGCAAAAGTAAGTGACCAGGATATAAATAATATTGAATAGATCAATGATACAATCACAGCGGATCTAGAGTCATAAAAAGAAGATGGTTGAAAGTTTGTTACAAACACACTGCATGCTGTAACCTCTCCCTCTCTGTCTTGCGTCATCGGGCGCAAACATGTGAAGATGATGAGGGTTTTGATTTCCAGACTGAAAGCTTTGTTCATCAGCCTGTGTGCGGACACGTCACGGAGAGACTGCAGATGTCACACTGATTCCCCCCCCCCCCCTTCCCCCTGCTTGAGTCAAGACTGTTGTCCCTCTCCAGAAGAGCTCGGTGCAGAAATCTGGACTGTGCCGAGTGCCAGCCTCAAGTGGCAGCCACCCACCGTCCTGCTGAGGTGGCTCTCCAGTCAGCAGCACAGCCTGCTGTCTGCCTCAGCGACCAGCCACCCACCGAGTCTGTCACTCCATCACTCACACATGCAGCACAGCATGACTCCTATGATCTCACACCGACAGCTCCATCCTCAATGAGGAGCTATTTTTGGTCTCAAATTTCTTGGCATGTTTGCTTTGTGTTTTCCAGACACTTCCCAGGAGGCCAACCTCTCCCAGGGGAGAGGTGGAAACATGCTGCATTCAGTGTGAGTATTTTCCGTGCTCACACAAAAGCATCACCTTGTCTTTCCCTCCCTCCCTCCCCCCCCCTCCCTTTCTCCTTCACTGCCCTCTTTCATTTGTTTGTGGTGTCATTAAACTGAGGGACCCTGCAGGTGGGTGGAATCCCCTCAACAATAGTGAATCATGATGTGGGCGACTTTGCCTGTAAAGCCCAGGAGCTTTGACTGACTGTCATGGCTGCCGGAATTATGTAACCTGGAATTCTCAACATTATTCAAAGGTAGATTGTCTCACTGAGCGTTTTGTTTGGGACACCTGTACTCCTGCTTACTCACGCAATTACCCAATCAGCCAATCATGTGGCAGCAGTGCACAAGATCAGGCAGATACAGTTGAGGAGCTTCAGTTCATGTTCACATGAATGGAGAATGGAGGATTAATAGTGATCTCAGTGACTTTGAGTATCTCTGAAAATGCTGATCTTTCTTGGGATCGTCAAGGAGATCCAGAGTCAGGAGCGTTTCAAAGGACCTTGGGGGCCCCAGACAAAAGGGACTCAAGGGGTCCTGCTTCGAGGCCCTGCACCCTGTGCCATTTTAAGAGATGTACTGAAGACGTTCTCCAGAGAATTGGGTTTGGATTTTCTCTGCAGTTTGCAGTAAAGTATTAATTCTGCTGCAAAGATAATTTGTGGATTCAACAGCTTCGGCCCTTATCACCACAAATGTGCTTCACATCTTCGTCGGCGTATTCTATGTATATATTTAGATTCCTTTTGTTTTTTTCAATCAACTCCCACTCGCTCAGGCTTCTGCAGACTTTCAGCGGAATTCATACTCGGAGGCCAGGCAGAGAACATCTGCAGAAACTCTAACCATGTTCATCTCTTTAAAGCCACAGTTTAACATCTTCTACTTCCAGCAGAATAATGCTCCAGGCCCAACAGTCATGAAATCCATTCAGCAGTTTTTGTATAATCCTGCAAACAGACAGAGCAACGACAAACCTCCTTGGAAAAAAAAAAGATCTCAGATTTCTTTGTTTTTAATTAATTTGTTTTATTTTTGTCAACTTCCATAAAATACAGTGTAGTTGTAAAAAGGTTCCTACCCTAGTTTCCTGTACCTGGCTGTTTCACCTGGGGGTTATTTCAGTGCTGCACAGTTTCCAGCTATAGATGCACAAATGGTTCAGCTGGAAGTGAACGACACCTGTTTCTTTTCCTGTCAAGAAATAAATTCACAACTCTGGTGTGTGTCTAACATCACAACACTGCACAGAGTGGGAGCAGAAAGTGTTCTGCTACAATAAGTTCAGTGATCTTCTGCTGCCTCCTCCTCATCAGATCCGAATCCAATACATCACCTCTGGGATGTTGTGGAGCAGAACGTGCAGCGGAAAAACCCGCGGTAATGATGCAATCATGCTGTCATGGAGCAGAATCTCAAAGAAAAGTTTGCTACAACTTGTGGAATCGATGCAATGAAGACCTGAGTGTATTTAGAGAGGAAAGGGAGGAGCTAGTGTTTCTAATAAAATACTCACACTTCCTTTTAACCACATTTCATCACTGCTCTCACGTTCATTCTTTAATTCCAGCTGAGTTTTCACTGTGTCATCATCTGTCTCTTGTTTACCCTTCTCCCAGGTTACTGTGTTACATAACTGCAGCCAACAACAGCAGATGATTCACACTGAGCAGTGACCCCTAAAGACTTTGCGAGCATTCTCCCCTGCAGAGTGAAAATAAACACATTTCATGAATCATACAAACAGCAATGAAAACACTTCTGATGAATCCAGCCTGCACACAAAGGCGTGTGACCACCGCAATATCCTTTCATTTGAACCTGAGATAGGAGATCACCAGGGGCGCAGATGACTAGCCTAACCTCAATCTTAACCCTTATCTAAACATAACATAAACCTTAAATGAACCTTAAACTAACCTCACTCTAACCTAACCTAGTCTAAACTTAAACCCTTAAAAATCTTTAGGACCTTAAAAAAATGTCTTCACCTTTAAGGATTAATGTCGGGGGGGCTTGAGAAAGTAAGTCAAGTCCTCGTAGTTTCACTTCGTAAACAGATTCAGAGTCCCACAACATGAACGATGACCTAGGGTCTACCTCACCTTTCTTCCTATGTTTGCTGGTTGCATTGGCTGGAGTACTGACTCGTCACCTGGCGATCCTTGTAAGTGGTAAAGATCCTAGATGGACGGATGGTGGAAAGTATATTTAAGGTATTTAACTTGAGTAGTTCTGCTTCGCTACATTTCAGACAGGAGTTCTGAACTTTTTACTTATACTACATAATACGGATTAAATTAGAGCTCCACCTTGACAAAATACAACAGTTAAATGCAGCCTACACATTGCATCAGTGATAATCAAGTAATGTGATATGTTATTTTCAATTCTTACCTCTTTGCATGTTCCCCTCGTGTCTCTGTGGGTGTTCCCCAGAGAGTCAGTCCAGGTACTCAGTGTTCCTCCCTCAGTCCAAAAACATGCAGACTGGGATCAGGTTCATTAGAGACTCTAAATTGACTATAGGTGTGAATATGAATGTTTGTTTTGTCAGCAACCTGTTCAATGTGTACCCCACCTCACGCTCAGTGTCAGCTGGGATTGACTGCAGGACCCCATGACCCTCATGGATAAGTGGTATAGATAATGGATGGATGGATGGATGGATGGATGGATGGATGGATGGAGGGATACATGTATGCTTTATACATGTGGCACAAAAAGCAATTCCTCAAGCTACACTTCCCTCAGGATCTAAGACTCTGTGGGAGAAGATCCTGTAGAAACCTGTTGGAGACTGGAGCTCTTCCAGTCACGGTGAGACACTATATTGACGGTGACACCAAAATCAGACGTAACCTTGTGTTACCTCACGACTCCATCCTTTGGCAGCTGTGCAGTGTCATCCTCTGAGTCTCCATGTGGGGAAAAACAGCCTTGAATGTGCAATTTGATGCTCAAATCTTTACCATCGTTCAACTTCACAGAATAAAAGGAAGTAAACTTAACACTCGACAAGAGGTTGATATGAATAGGCACAACTTTCCTCTGTTTGCCAGTGAAACTACCTTCTTCTCTCACCTGTGCCCCAAGCACGCAAAAATAAGTCTGAATATATTTCTGTGCAGGAATCAATAAATATTCACATATCGCAAGCTGCCCAGAGTGGGCGCACGGTCACAGAGCCCACATCTCTGGCAATATACAGAGCACAGGCGGAACAGCAGCCAAGTGGAAAATAACTTTAATAAAACTCCTATGAAAACAAAAACCAGCAAAACAATAAAAGCCTGTATATTTGACAATATCCAGTGACTGAGACATTTGAAGGCTAGTGGTGCGAAACACAGCTGCATCACACATAAACCAACAGACATAACCAGTACAGGTTCAGGTCTGCGCCCAAGGTTTAATATAATAAGATATGGTTCATATACTCGGATATTGCACGAAAATCAAACACCGTACGTCGGGAATGGGGGAAGTAGTTTTGCATTGCAGTGTAACGTCCCTACTGAGAAACCCCGCCTACACCTGCTCGTATAAAAACAAATACACTTAAAAAGAGAGCGGCACATGTTTGCACATTCAATTCTGAAGCAGATCATTAAAAACACAGTATAAACAATACAATGCATTTTTTGTTTTGGTCCTACCACGTTAAAAGCATCAGTTATTTCTCAGTGAGTTTATTCGTCATGGTTTGGGCGGGCGCTTTAAAAGGCTGACATACAGTGACAACTCACAGGTGTTCACGCTTTGTCCAATAATGCTCTCGTATGAAGACATATGAAATAAACAATGCAAATTGTCATTTCAAAATAAAAGAAACTAACAATGCAACTGAAATATACATCTTTCTAAAAACATTCCAGTGTTCAGTGGTTCACATGAACTGAGTTTCAAACTGTGGACCAAAAAGCGTTTTTTTTCTCTAATCAATCCTTCTCTTTGAATCAATATTTCCCTCTCGCATGTTTTATTTTGGTGGGCTAGTGTAATGGTCTGGCACATAGAAGTCTGGGGATATTCTTAAATGGCAAAAGACACAGAAAAATCATAAAAAAATACAATCTTCCCGCAGTTTTGAGGCACACTTTGAGGCAGCGAGACTGTTAAGATGCACTTCCTGTGGGAGTTGTGCACATTGTTTTAAGACATGGGGGGGTTGTTGGGTTGAATTCTTTTGTCTTCCTCCGTTGCCCCCACCCATCTGCTATCTCCGCTATACTTAAAACAGTCCAGGGGCGGGGTTACGCCATGTGCCCATTCAGTGTCCGTGCATGCAGAGTCTCAAATCCGTCACCAAAGTTTCACCAAAATTCTACCGCTCCGAAATGTGGTTTCCAATCAACAGCCCGCTGCTTAGGGACTGGTTCATGTTTAGTGTGGGCAGAGTGGGTGCTTCAGTTCCCTTCCTTTGGCTGTGTGCTCCATCAGCTGTTGTGCCTGTGCAAAATGAGCAGCGACGTTACCAACCATGATTCCACAGAAATGTCACGAGACCGTGAATTTGTACTTTTCCGGAGGCACCAGGTCAGAGTGATGGCAGGTGAGGGGGATACAGAGGGTAACTGGACAGTCTGGAGGAGTAGGTTTACTCTGCATGTATGGTACATGGGGTCCAATCTGCTAGATTTGGGATACTCTGCTAGATTCCCTTCTTTAAATATAGGTGGATGTGCCCCTGACTCCATTGTCACATTTCCTCTCCCCCCACACACACACACACTGTCTTCACTGTGTCCTCTTGGCCCCTGAACCCCCGGCACTCTCAGGGGTAGTAGCTGCTCTAGGACCGGTTGTCTTTGGCCACGTTGTGGGCCATCCAGTTGACTTTGGTTGTCCAGCTCTCTCTCAGGGCCTCATCAAACTTCTGGCGAAACTGCTTCAGCGCCTCATCGTCTGTTTTACCCAGAGCCAGTGAATCCTAAAGAGGAATTGTAGGTGAGAGGGAGGATTAGTCAGGAGGATGGAGAAGTCATGAAGAAGTTGAAGAAATGGTGTGTGTGTGTGTG